TGTTTTTCCAAATGTTGTGATTCAGTTAAATTTTACAAATATGTATAATATTATTTTTTTTACAACATCAGAGTTTACTTGAAAATGAAATTTTTTTTCATTCCCAAATAAAGTGAAAATTCATTGTTCAGTTCTAAACAGAGCACGAGATTATGTCTTATGCAGATTTGTCAAATGTGGTTCAGCATGGTAAATCTTTTGCTTTTTACAGGGCACTATTGTTGATAGGATAGATTTTAATGTTCAGAATGTTGCTGTGTCAGTGGAGGAGGGCTATAAGCAGTTGCAGAAGGTTCTAAAATCTATACATCTCAGTCACTTGCTCATACACACCCATTCACAAACATATACTTCTGATTGCACTAGGTTGATGTTCTCGGCTTCTTTGGTATGCCTGACCTGTGAAGTTTGGTATCTTCGAATTGCAGGCAGAGAGAACCCAAAAGAAAGGAGGAATGGTGATGTGTGCAACAGTGCTTGTTATAATGTGCTTCATCATGCTAGTTCTCTTGGTCCTAAAGCAGATATTCTTATGAACCTATTATTTACTGCCTCAGATGAATGTTATGACTGCATTGGTTGTGGGAAGAAGTTACGAGATAGGAACTGTATTGAAACAAAAAAAAAGATATAGCGATCTTTTTTTGAACATAGAAAATGGGGATATGATATTGCATTTAACTGTATCTTCTTGTACACCTCAGAATAGTAAATATCAGTTGTGATGTCTTTCTTGCAGATGTTACAATTTACTAAAACTGAAAAAGAAGGTAAAGAAAAGGCAATCTTGTCCCAGATTCAACTTCCTCAAAATATTCCCAAGAACAAAAAGACACTTGGAAGTATGAATAAGGGCGGGCGATTCTCTAGTAACTGGGCTGTTGGCATGAATCTTTAAAATAAATTTCCAAGCTATGGATATTTTTGCCACATCACACGGAAATTACCATGTCAGCATGTATTTGCATCACTGTGTTGATATGTTACAAAAACATGCAAAAAAAGGATTAGTTTTTTAGCTGCAGCATATTGACAAGAATATGATGGAGCCTTTATTAATTTTTACTCTTTGCTGCTGATTGATGTTGACATTGTTGATCAGCAGTAGCAGTCACAGAGCACACAGAAATTGCAAAATTTGTTTGTCTTGTGCCTAGTGTGGTTAGAAACCAAGAACTGAAAATTCCCTTGGAATTTCTGCCTCAAGTGAAGAATGTGTAAGGGAACATGGAGAGACCTTTGTCCTTGTTTCTAAACCAACTTTCAGCTGGTGCTGCAACTTATGAGATAGAAACTGATGGTATGACTGAATTGTTCCATGAAACTTTGCCTTCTGTTGATCAATTTAATCAAGATGAGTTTCTTCGCTAGACATTTGCATGTGTTATTTTTTATGCCTCTAGCTTGTAACTTCTTTATTGAACTTCGGACACGAACGTTAGCAATTAGTTTAACTTCTTACAGTTTCTTGTAGGGAGGTAATATGGTTTCTGGAATGACTTTCTCATACAGTTTCTGCCGTGTAAGAGATGTCCCCAAGCTCTTCAATCTGTTTTTCTTGTGAACATCACAAAGTCTTTGGTAAATGGAAGAAGAATAATCATTCAAGTTCAAGAGAAGCATGATCCCTTTGAAAATTCAATGGATGTGTATAGTTCCAGTTAGAGGTACCATTAGAATGAAAGAGTTGGATCAAATTGAACTTTCTTCTGAATACTAGTTACATTCGTTTTCTTCTCTACAAAATGCTTTCTTCTATACTCACCTACGCACCAAATACAGCATTTGGTGTTGAATATTAATCAAACACGATGCATGATGTCGAAGCAGCTAAAGAATAATTTGAAGTCATTGGACTGCCTCTCTTACTGCTACCACTGCACTAACCAGAAAAGTAGAACAACTAGCACGATGAAGATGCTGGTAACTGCATTCATCTTGCAAGCACTGTTTGTTGGAAGTATTGCAGGAAGTGCACACTCTTCACCATTGAAGAACACTTTTGTTGGGTAGCCATCGCCCCCTGCAACATTAATATTAGGGGTTTTCTTCTTTGTGAAGGAAATTACTGATTGTTGTGTACCGGGTACCCGAGGATCTTTCTTTGGGTTGGTGCCATTCTTTTCTGGCAGAAGATAATTGAAATCCCGGAGACCTTGCATGAATATTGTATTATTGGAATCAGGAAGCAAACTGGAATTGAAGGAATATGCTGCTTGAAAACCTGGTCCTGCTTTGTCCAGTTCCACGGCAACAAACCAATCAGCAAACTCAGTTTCACCCCAGTTGAAAAGGGTGATCCTCGCTGTCCAGCCATCTCTGTAATCTGAATATAAGTTCCAGTTTATGCTAACTCCACAATTATCCCCACAAGGCAATGGATTAGGAACAGGACGATTTTTCATCCTAGCCCATTCCAGAGCCTCTTGAGTCCGGTTTTCAAATGGGATAAGAAGAGTCTTTGGTTCTAAAAGAAGAGCTGGTGCATCGGCATTGCAGGTTTGGCTTGGATTGTTGTTGCAGCCACAGGCACAAGTGCTGCAAGGGAGAACAGAATCATTGAAGAAGGCTGAGAAGGACACACAGCATCTGGGGCTTGCCTTCTTGGACTGTGTTATGTTGCAGACCACTTGCCAACTTGCAACTGCAGCAGATTCTGAAGGTAATCCTCTTGGATCTGGAAATTGGCTAGAACCTACTCTCACTGGAGATCCACACTGATACCCTGAACCAAAAGAGCCATCAATCCTCCAGTTCTGTGGTGGAAGTAGCTTAGTCCTGTTCAAGTCTGGTGGCATTTTGAACACTTGCATCTGGAAAACTGAAAGTGACCTGCTTGGATCCATGTTAGGTGACAAAATTGTCCCATTTCGACAGCAGAAAGGAATCCTCCCTAGAACAGAATCATTTGCTCTTGTTGGAGGTAAGTCAATAATTGTTGGCCTTTTTTCACAGTTCAATACTTCTGAGAAGTCCATGTCCTTGTAGTACTGTCCTTGGGTACCAAATAGGCATTCTCTCGTATCAAGCCCAGAGGGATAAGCTCCTTTAATGGCGTAGATGAATTCATGTCTCATCCATTCCCAACTTAACTTCCAATTAACAAAGTGACCCAGAGGATTATGGTTCGAGATTGAGACTTGTGCCCAGTAATTGGTGTCATATGAGCTGATCACATCATACATTATTGTAAGGTCACCTTCTTGACGGGGCAAGATTTCATCTTCTTCCTTGTTGTCCGATGGAGACACTAAATTTCTAGTGCAGCAGACATGTATCTCTTTGTCCCCTAAGGCAGCCACAACATTTATCAATCACTAGGTGGATTACAATTACTATATTGTTCTATGTTCCTTCTGTTATATAGCATAATACATATATATCTAGGAACAAGAATGTTTATCTGAGAGAAGAGATGAGATACCTTGTTTTGTTGGCTCAGAGCAGGAATACCCATCATCAGCAAGAGTCATAGTTGCCGGTAAAGGAACATCCGGATCTCCAACTCCGTACTCAGTACCCACCAATCCGACCTGAACCTGCATGTTGGACAAATCTCCCGCCGTTTCAATGGCGGACTTGAGGTCAGTTACCGGGAACCCTGCCAAAACAGTGCCATTCCCAACTTCAGCGGGGAGATAAGACCCATCAGCCAAGACAGCGTTGCTCAAGGAGACCAACAACTCATTGTACTGAAATCCCACGAAGACCTGCCATGACTTTAGCTCATCACGGCCGTTATTGAGGATGGTCAAGGTCGATTCAAACCTGTAAGCTTGGTTAGCAGGGTCGGTCGGCGGGATGGAGTAGCCTCTGGTGTGGACGTATGACAAGAACACGCTATTGCATGTGTTTGAAGCCAGTGGTGGAGCCGGTGGCAGTGGGGACTGAGACAGTGAAGTATGGAGAGAGAAGGAGATTGTAAAAACCATGCAGATGAAGATGGGTGCATGGAGAAACATGGTTTAGTTTGAGAGAGAAAAATGAACTCGTTTTGTTTTGAGCCAAAATACAGAGAAAGTAAATGAACTTGGGAGTTGTGCAAGTAGTTTTACTAGTTTGAGAAGTAGAAGCAGGGTGCTCGATTGGCTGTTGGGTACTATAAAGTTGATTTGGTTTGCCGGCTTTGGCGCTCTGCATGACGAAGCATGAAGAGGAGAAGAGACCTGGTCTTTACTCGGCTCGTCTGTATCTTCATTTTCAAAACAATTTGTATAACCAGTAAAACCACTCTTTTTTCTTTTTAAGGGTGGGAGCCTACAGTGACGCCATTTTGGGTTTGGGATTCAAGCCAGGTTTTTTTTTTTTTTTTTTTTTTTTTTTTGGATTTTCCTTCTTGTTTCATATTTTCATAATAATATTGAAAATCAGGAAATACTAGTTTATTAGGCTCGTTATTGTATTTATATACTTGGCCCATTAATTATTGTTGTTTTAATATCTCTGGTTTAGGCCATAGCCATTTGGCTTAATATGATGTTGTATATAGTAGGTTTTTATTTTTTGGAGGGGGGGGGTTGGTGTGTGCAAGCTCAACGAGTGTATGAGCACCAATTGACTGCTTGTGGTGCAAAGTATTTTTAATAAGCAAATTCAAAATAAGAAGCTATTCAGATGTGTCTCGTACTACTTTATAAAATTCAATTTCAAGAATGCCTCATCAAAATTTTATTCTTTCTTTCCCATGTCTCTACAATCAGAATTGTTTATTTAACTTGTCAAATGAACTATTTAGATATTAGCTTGCATAACAAAGTTACATTTCTTTTTGTAACTTCATGAAACTAAAAAGTTCTTAAAAAGTATATGTAAGTAAATGTGTATTGATTAATATATTTTTAGGTTTAAAAAGTATTTTTGTTGCCTGACTTTTTATCCCTTCCCATATGAGTTAAGATTTTACTATTTAATAAATATTTAGTTTTTACACTATTGAGTTCATCAAAATTATCTTATAGATGACAAATTATTAAATTTACCTTAAAAAATGAGTACATATTAATATAATATCTCATTTTCATTAACGGAAATCTTATTTTAGTTAATATGAATTTTCTTTAAGCTATTTATAAAATTACGATATTAATGTGTGTATAAAAGAATAAAAATAATATTTTATTACATTTTAAAAATTTGAAAAGAACATAAAATTGAATTTGGTCAGGCCAATATGATCATATATAAACATTACATTTTTAGAAGTTGATAAAAAGTGATTAAAACAATTACAATATTAAATTTGAGAATTCATTTGGAACAAATTTTTTTTATTTTAATTCACGTAAATTGATTAGACGAATGCAATAATATTAAAAATCTTTCTAAAATTTATGAAAAATAGCTTATAAAATTGTAAAGCTTTTAAAAGAATGCAAAATCTGATTCTTAGTATCTTTTTATAACAATTTTTTTTTTAAATTCACCGTAAGCTAAAAAAATTTATGCCATAATATTAAAAATTTATAGTTTAAATTTTGTCTTGAAAATAGATTACAAGATTTGAAGGTAAATTGATTTGCTTTCACTTTTGAATCCATACAATTTTTGAAATGTCTATGTCATGATATTAAAATAATTATATCTTTGACATTAATAAAATTGCCCAAATGTCCAACTGACCATGAATAATAACATAACACATCTAAAACATTAGGATATATAATATAAATTTAAGCGTCTTTAAAGTAAAAATTCTTCTCAATAACATAATTTGATGAAATCTATCGCAATAATATTCAAAAAATTATAATTTTAAATTTTTTTAAAAAAATGAACTATAAAATTATATATACTAATTAAAGATGTCTAAAAATATAAGAGTTCATTTAATATTATTGTTCATTTGAATCGACTTAAATTTGTGATAATTATATTATGATATTAAATTTAAAATTTATTAAAATTATTCTAAATTATCGTATAAAATATCTCTTAATACTTTTAAATTTTTAAAATATTATAACATCGAATTCAATGATCTCTTTAAATATTTTTCTGTCGGAAAAAAATTGCCTAATTTTACAAAACATTCTAAATACATGTTAAAATTAATTCATTCAATTACTAAGTTTTACTACAATTGACTTATATAAAATTATAATTTTAAACTATGAATTAAATTCTATTCTAACGAGGATATGATTAAGAAATGTAAAATTAACCTTAATTTATGGTACAATTATATGAATTTAGTTCTACAAAATTTTGAATTTGACCAAAAATAAAATAAAGTTTTGATATTATTATTTAAGTTTATGATACGTGGGAAGAAGTGTAATTACATGAGCTCACAATCCAAGAAATTATGCGGCCGAAAGTTTGAATTGCAGATGGCAGACCCCACAAGGGGGAATCACAAGTAATGTATATTAGTGGGGCCCTCCCTAAAAGACTAAATCGACCGTTGGATCTTTAACAAAGCTTTACCCTTTTCCTTGACTTTCCCTTCAACGGAGGGCGACAACGTTACGAACATATAACGACCGTTTTAGTTCAAAGACAGCCGACCGATTCTTTTGTATCTACGGCTCATACTTGTCGACCGTTTAATTGTATCCTTCATCTAAGTAAACCCCCCCCCCCCCCCCCCTCCCAGCTTTCCTCAAAATTCAAATTCAAGCTTTATGCAGAATGCACCACCCCCACCATCCATATTCATCTCTCCTTCTTCTCCAATCTGTTTATCTCCATTCTTCACTGCAAATTCCTGCTCCTTTATCTCCGGTTCTAAGAGTTTCTGTTGATCTGGGTTCTGCCTGACTTTGAGTTCCTTTAATTTCACGGGAATTTCTTGTTTCTATTCTTGTTTCCTTCTAATTTCCGAGGGTTTTTTTCTTCCTCAGAAAAAGATGGTGAAAACAGCTTCTTCTCCATCTTCTTCTCCAGTGACCATCACGATCTCATCAGGAGGTAAAGGATCTGGAGCTAGAAGCATGGGATTAACTAGTCCAGTGCCACGTGCTTCTATATCAAACAACCCGAATTCCCCTCTCAGTTGCAAAGGAAACCGTGCTTCGAGCGGGGGAATTCGGACTTCCAGCGGAGGAAGATATTGTTCAATGTCGAAAGACGATACCACGGAGGAGATTAACTCAGAATTTGTTTCCTATACTGTGCATATACCTCCAACTCCTGATCACCATTCCATTTCTGACTCACAAACGAGCATACCAGAAGATGTCAGGAACATGATCAAGCCGGATCGAAGCTTCATTTCAGGTACCATTTTCACGGGTGGTTTCAATTCGGTGACTCGTGGGCATGTAATTGATTGCTCGATGGAGCGTCCGGAGCCAGTGAAATCAACTCTGGCTTGCGGGATGAAAGGTTGTGATGAGAAGGCTATTCAAGGGAAATGCGAGTGTGGGTTCAGGATTTGTGGGGAGTGTTACTTGGATTGTCTAGCTAATGGCGAAGGGCATTGCCCTGGGTGCAAAGAGCCCTACAAGGGTGCCAGCGAGGACGAGAGTGAAGATGAACCTAGCTCGGAGGCAGAGGACCAAGCTCTGCCTTTGCCTTCAATGGCAGACTCCAAGTTGGACAAGAGACTTTCACTTGTGAAGTCGTTTAAAGCGCAAAATCATCCGCCTGATTTTGATCACACTCGGTGGTTGTTCGAGACTAAGGGAACTTACGGCTACGGTAATGCAGTCTGGCCTAAAGATGGGTATGGAGCTGGGTCAGGAGCTAATGGATTTGAACACCCTCCGGATTTTTTTGAGAAAAGAAAAAGGCCATTGACGAGGAAAATCGGTGTCTCTGCTGCAATTCTCAGCCCGTACAGGTAAGCTTCTTAAACTAGAAATTCTCAGTTCCTATCTACCTGTCTGCAAATGGGTTTGTTCCATTTATTTGCTGGAAAGGTCCCACATTATGAATAGTCATCTTGTTGAGGGAGTTGATTTTGAATTTGAATGTAGGAAAGTTGGTTTCTAGATGTAATCTTCTTCATCTCTTTGTTTTTTCACCGCCCATTGAATTCATTGCTGTAAGATTCTTATCTGCTTTCATATCATATTTATCTTCGCATATGGCATATGCTGCTATACAGGCTTCTCATTGCAATGCGTCTTGTTGCTCTGGGCCTGTTCCTGACATGGAGAATTCGACACCCGAATCGCGAGGCTATATGGCTATGGGGAATGTCAATAACTTGTGAGCTTTGGTTTGCGTTTTCATGGCTGCTAGACCAGCTCCCAAAGCTATGCCCTGTGAACAGAGTAACCAACCTCTCTGTCCTGAAAGAGCGTTTTGAATCTCCCAACCTAAGAAACCCCAAAGGACGATCTGATCTTCCCGGCATTGATGTGTTTGTCTCGACGGCAGACCCAGAAAAAGAACCGCCCCTTGTCACGGCTAATACCATTCTATCAATCCTTGCAGTTGACTATCCGGTGGAGAAAGTGGCATGTTACTTGTCAGATGATGGTGGGTCTCTTTTGACATTTGAAGCATTAGCAGAAACTGCTAGCTTTTCCAGATTCTGGGTTCCTTTCTGTAGGAAACACAATATAGAACCAAGAAATCCCGAGGCCTATTTTGCGCAGAAGAGGAATTTTCTCAAGAACAAAGTGAGACTTGATTTTGTAAGGGAGAGAAGAAGGGTAAAGAGAGAATATGATGAATTCAAGGTGAGGATCAACTCACTGCCAGACTCGATAAGGCGGAGATCGGGTGCATATAATGCCCATGAGGAGCTTAGGTTGAAGAAGAAGCAGATGGAAATGGGTGGAAATCCCTCAGAACCTACTAATGTTCCCAAGGCTACTTGGATGTCAGATGGTTCCCACTGGCCTGGAACATGGGCTTCTGCTGAAAGAGATCATTCAAGAGGAGATCATGCTGGGATAATTCAGGTAATTACTTAACAGACTCAGAAGTTCTGTGAAATTTGTTTGGTAATTCATATTTACTTTCATTACATAATGGTAAAAATCCTAACCAAAATTATTGTAATTCCATTTTAAGTTCTATATCTTCTTCTAGCTGTTGAACTATTGTGGACTAGCAAATTATTATAAAAAAAATTTATGAATTTGTCTCAGAACAGACTCAAATTTAGGTAATTACTCAATAAACTTAGAAATTTTGTGAATTTCATTTATCTGTTCATATTTAGTATGATTAGAAAATGGTTAAAACAATCTTAATTAACATGGTAATGTATTATTCTAATTCCACTTAAAATTCTATTTCTTCCTCTAGTCGTTAAAGTTGAACTATTGAAAATTTGCAAAATAATTAAGGAAAATTTACGGATTTGTTCCAAATGTAGACTTAAACTTACATTATATGAAATGCCAAAGAAATGTTTGATATATTCTGCAGGCAATGCTAGCTCCGCCAAATGCAGAACCAGTTTTTGGGGCAGAAGCTGATGGGGAGAATTTGATTGACACAACAGAAGTTGATATTAGATTGCCTATGTTGGTTTATGTATCTCGTGAGAAGAGGCCAGGATATGATCACAACAAGAAAGCCGGAGCCATGAATGCTTTGGTTCGAACCAGTGCTATCATGTCAAATGGGCCATTTATCCTCAATCTAGATTGTGATCACTACATCTATAACTCACTGGCTTTAAGGGAAGGCATGTGCTTTATGCTTGACAGAGGAGGTGACAGGATATGTTATGTTCAATTTCCACAAAGGTTTGAAGGCATTGATCCAAATGACCGGTATGCAAATCATAATACAGTGTTCTTTGATGTGAGTATGAGAGCTCTTGATGGGTTACAAGGTCCAATGTATGTAGGCACTGGCTGTATTTTCCGCAGAACTGCTCTGTATGGATTTAGCCCTCCAAGAGCAACTGAGCATCGTGGGTGGTTTGGGAGGAAAAAGATCAAATTGTTCTTGAGGAAGCCCAAGTTGGCAAAGAAGGAAGATGATGATGCAGCTTTGCCAATCACTGGGAATTTCAATGATGATGATGATGGTTTCGATATCGAGTCCTTGCTTCTTCCGAAAAGGTTTGGGAATTCTTCTTCCCTAGCTGCATCTATCCCAATAGCAGAATACCAAGGAAGACTTCTTCAAGAATTGCAAGGCAAGGGCAGCCACGGGAGACCAGCTGGTTCTCTTGCAGTACCTCGTGAGCCTCTGGATGCTGCGACTGTTGCAGAAGCAATTAGTGTTATCTCTTGTTTCTATGAGGATAAAACTGAGTGGGGAAAAAGAGTAGGATGGATATATGGTTCTGTAACGGAAGATGTGGTTACAGGCTACAGAATGCACAATAGAGGGTGGAGGTCTATATACTGTGTCACCAAAAGAGATGCATTCAGAGGGACAGCTCCTATCAATCTGACAGACAGACTGCATCAAGTTCTTCGATGGGCGACTGGCTCTGTAGAGATCTTCTTCTCAAGAAACAATGCATTGTTTGCAAGTCCTCGGATGAAATTCCTGCAAAGAGTGGCATATTTCAATGTGGGAATGTACCCTTTCACTTCTCTTTTCCTCATTGTCTATTGCATTCTCCCAGCTGTCTCCCTCTTCTCCGGGCAATTCATTGTGCAATCCCTGGACATAACCTTTCTGATATTCCTCCTGGCAATCACCCTCACCTTGTGCCTACTTTCTGTCCTTGAAATAAAATGGTCTGGAATCACCCTCCATGACTGGTGGCGGAACGAGCAGTTCTGGCTGATTGGTGGGACAAGTGCTCACCCTGCAGCAGTCCTGCAAGGACTACTCAAGGTAATAGCAGGAGTAGACATCTCATTCACCCTGACCTCCAAATCAGCAACACCAGAGGATGGAGATGATGAGTTTGCAGATCTTTATGTGGTTAAATGGAGCTTCTTAATGGTGCCCCCAATCACAATCATGATGGTGAATCTAATAGCCATTGCAGTGGGAGCTACAAGGACCTTGTACAGTCCGTTTCCACAGTGGAGCAAGTTGGTTGGAGGAGTGTTTTTCAGCTTCTGGGTACTTTGCCATCTTTACCCATTTGCAAAAGGGTTGATGGGGAGGAGAGGAAAGGTGCCTACTATCGTCTTTGTCTGGTCTGGTTTGCTCTCCATTATTATTTCTCTGCTTTGGGTGTACATAAGCCCTCCATCTGGAAGGCAAGACTACATGAACTTCCACTTCCCTTGATGATGATGATTGTGTTTGTTGTTTTCCTTCTGTTTGCCATGTAGTTTAGGTCTAGTGTAGGAAAAATGAATATGAAGTTTCTCAACTTCATTTTGTAGCTTGCTGTATTGTCTTCTTCATTTTGTATGTAATTTGGATTTCAAGTGCCTACTATCGTCTTCCAAGACTTACATGAACTTCCACTTCCCTTGATGATGATGATTGTGTTTGTTGTTTTCCTTATGTTTGCCATGTAGTTTAGGTCTAGTGTAGGAAAAATGAATATGAAGTTTCTCAACTTCATTTTGTAGCTTGCTATATTGTCTTCTTCAACTCATTATTGTATGTAAATTTGGATTTCAAGTGTTAAATCTAGAAGGCTGTCTATCTTTCGTTCAAGTTGGATGTTTGTATAGCTACTTGAATTTTGTTTTCAAACTTAATGAGACAAGTTGTTTCTAAATTTTACTGAATCTCAACACGACTCATTTAGAATTGAAAAGACTGACTTGTTTCCCACATATATGTGATTGTTGCATTTCGGTATCTAAGTACTATAAATACTAGTGAATTTCCTCTTTCATCTACTACTTCACTTGGCAGGCTATTTTATTAGTAATAAAGAAATTTCTTCTTCTTTTTCTGCAAATTTAAGTTAGCTCGACGTTCTGACAATCGGAAACTTGAACTAATTAATCAATTTTTTTAAACTATTTACCATTTTGAGCTTACCCATTGAACTTACCCAACAATGAGATGTATTTTCATAAGTAGATTTCAAATGGGTTGTTAAGATATATATATGTTTGGTGCATTGTCAATTTATGTTCCCGTGGCACTTCTATAATAACAAAATCCCCCTCAAAACCCCTTCACGGCCGCCGGCTCTGTTTCCAAGCCCACATGGTCTTCTGCAATTCCAAGAAAACCCTCCACCCACCGGCCATAAGATTACAAACGCCAATGTATGTTTGAACCGGAACAACCTACGGTGGTGGTGCGGGTCCATCATCCGTATATGGACGGGGGTTGATCACGATCCATGTTTCTTTTTTTAAAATTACTTTTAAATGAGAAGACCAAGAAAAATGATCAATTATTTTTTAGTAGGAGTTTTTGCTCATTCAGATAACATGTGAAATTAAATGTTAATTCTCATGGGTTTTAATGATTCAATTTTTTGTTAAGCTTAAATTATTTAAGACGGTCGTTTTTAAACTAGACATCATATATAGCTTTAAAGCTCTTGAACTCGATGAAAGAGGATATAGAAAATAACAAAACAAAATAGGCTATATAGTTATGTCGCACGCACATACATACATACATACATACATATATATATATATATATTGGGTTTATTATTTATTGATCATAATTTGGTTGGTTCTGACACAAAATTGAAAAAAAAAAAAAAACAAAAAGAAAGCAAGAGAATTTTGCCACCGACGGAAGTCATTATCAATATTCACTTGGTGGTATGTTTAAGGAAGGCACATGTTATAAAAGGGAAAAAAATAAATGATAAAGTTTTTTTTGGTCATTTTCTCAGTAAGAATCTTATGCCCCGATTATATATATATATATATATATATATATATATATTCAATCATTTCATATACAACAAACTTTCCCCTCATCAAAAATGCAATTACTTTTGTTTGGTTTAGGTAGTCAATCATGCCAAAATAAAAAAGAAATACCGAGTCCAAGTTCGTGTCCGATTAAAACTTTGCTTTAAGCCCTTCAAAAATATATATATATATATATATATATCTATTTTTAGTTAAATTAATTTATGCATTTTAGATTAAAAATAATAATAATAATAATAAAGAGAGAGATATAATACTCTGAAATTGAGTTATTAGAATATTATGTTATCAAATTGTCTCAAATCTTATTTTCTCCCTCGTTAATGGGCCATTTCAAAAACACCCATTACGTACGAATTATATGATTTCTCCTTTCCTTTTTTTTTTTTACCTCCATTACCTGCCCTCTATTTACTACTAAGAAAATGCTCTAAACAAAACTTCAGAGGTTTTGTCTTACCCAAGATGCCAAACACATTCCCTTCAAAAAAGCCAAACAAGTCTGGTCCAAGCAAACCCTAGATTCTGGTAAGTTTCTTTTCACAATCCAAAGTGATTCTGGCAAAGCAACCAAATTTCTGCCGTTTTATCTCTCACAGCCACAAGCATTAATGTTTACATATTGGTTTTCTTCATCAACCAACACAAATCACAAGTCATGATAATTAATAACAATGAACCAGGATTCTTCCTGTTGAATTCAGGGTGTTTCATTGCAGACACTCTGTTCATCTAGAATTAATTAAAAATATGGAAGAGGCAAAAACGTGGGATACCAAAATGTATTATATTATATATAAGCAATTTAATCAACACGCAATTCCATCCACATGAATGACCTACTCACCCAATACAAAAGGAACAAAAAGAATCAACCCCCCTCAATTCTTCTCCCCCCCCACTCCCCCCATCACATCCATCGGTTTCATGCCCGCCGGTAGGGATCCAAAACTTGCCAACCCATCGGATCAAATTTGTGTTTTATCTCCATTTTCACCCATCCAAAATATAAAAATTTCACCTTTTTTTTTTTTTGAAGAATAATAATAATTTTCTCCTCAGTTCAGATTCACCTACTTGACGCGGCACTACCTCTCACGGTTGGGGTTGGGTCGGCTAGTGAGTGTAGCACAAAGAAAACTCGCCACGCTCCTATGCCCGTTAGCCTCCCTCTCTCTTCTAGAATCATCTAAACCAAATTACCAAACAATGATTAAAACAAGTAAATCAGAGATTAGAGTATGCTTCTGTTTTCTTTGTCAGAAATAAATAATTAATTAATTACGACAACAAAACTGTCAAAGTCAGAGACTGATTTTTCTTTTTCTCTGATTTCATCACCCATTTTTGGGTAGGGCCCAGTTTCTGTTGCCATTTCTTTGTCAATTTTTCTAATAGGTAATAATATATTCAACAAGATACATTTTATATAACAATAAAATAAATCCAGCTAAGACGAATAAACAGTGCTACTACCGGCCAACTTTGTTAAATAATCAAATTGACACTTTCTGCCGCAAGCATATGTATAAACGTCACAACAGAGACAAGAGTTTAGAAAAAGAGAGATTATCAACACAATGTAATGAATGAAAATATAACAGGGACCTCGATTTTACATCACAGTTTTGAGAAATTACACCCTAATTTATCTATTAACGTTGTAAACAATCTATGAGTTCTTGGCGGTGCGACATCTCGGAGGTGTCATAGTAAAACTTACATATCTCTAATCATGTAAAAGGTTCATCAAAAGGAAAAAGACCATGTAAAATGAGGACTAACCACGAGAAGCCAGTTACTTCTGCAAGGGTCCAAGCAGCTGGCCACGTGTGATGACAGGGCAAAAGGAATCGGTCCCCATTTCTACTTTGGACACTTCCCACGCAACAATGACATATCTGGGTCCCTCTCCTTTTATTCAATGCCACCATTACATTTTTGATCCTTTCAACTCCTAAGCTTTCATTTGTAAAGGCTAATCTTATATATTATGTACCATAATTATTATATCACTCACTTCTATTCTTTTTCTTTTATGATATAATATTATGTTTACTAATGTTAATAATAGTCCTTCTATGCAAGTATTCAATATTAATCACCCATAAAAGAAAAAGAAAAACCCCTGTTATTTTTAACATAACAATTATGATACACACAAGAGAGAAAAGAATATGGAGTTGCCACCTAAGTGCGCAAAGTGACAGTAAGTTAGTTCACAAGTCCTCAAGCCGCTGCCACCGAAGCTCCCTATTTTTAGATAACCATCTCTCACCCTTCTCCGTGGATTCTTCCAATCACTCAATCACCTCTCCAGGCGGCACCAATTCCCCATTTTTATCTCTCTCTCTCTCTCTCCATATATATATATATATATATATTATATATAAAACTAACTAAAAATTAAGCTTGACCTGCCCCCTTCAACATTTTGCCATATGCGCTCCAGAATGACAATTTCAACCTTTATCTCATCAATAACTTTCTTCTTAGCCTCGATTGGTGTTAAGTGTCTAAAGAATCGGACTGTACTATCCTCGATAAGCACAAATGGGTTGCCAGAAAAATAAAAAGCCTGCACATAGAGGGGTTAGGGTACCCCATAAATGGCCTACCTAAGAGAAATAAAATATTAACACTAACATATCATTATATTTACCAAGAAACCCACAACGGTACAGATGAGAAAAAGGAAGAAACAGATGCTGAGTGCCATCACTGTCCTCTCCCACTAACGCAGTCAAGGGCATTCGAGGAAATAAAGAGCCATGAGCTTATCCAGAACCGACACCACCGAGAGGATATGTTATAATTTATGCTGTGCCAGTCTGCTAATTGGTATTTCTTAGACGAATAATGAAATTTATCAAGTGCAATTCGGTCATTTTAAAAAGGTCCTATATTCCCATTTCCCCACATGTATTGCCTTCTACAGAATCATAAATGCTTTTGTTAAACCCTAATTGTCACTGTAACTAAAGGGTACTGAATCAAACCACAACAATAGAAGAAAATACACAGTTGAGAAATTGAATATTTTTTTAATTTTATTTTCGTGGAAGAAATAATAGAATAAGATACAGATCGCCTGAGAAATGAGTTTTTATACTAACAGTGAAGAAAAATGAGTAAAAAAATAAGAAGATATGAAGAAGATGACACAAAATAATGAAAAAGAAAATTAAAAGGAACAAATGCTAAAATATTAAAAATAATAATAATAATAATGAAACAAAAGTGACTAGAAAACAGTGGAATTTACCGGCGAGAAACCCTGCGAACAATTCATTGCGGGTGTCCGTACAAGTCATATGGTGCCCATAGTGCATCGAGCGGACATGGTCTCTTGGAGTCTAGCCTGAGCCAGGGCTTGCCGCTGCCGGACCAATGCAGCAGGCTCACAGGACCTGGGTGCAGGTCACGGCAACTGCCCCTAACATTGTCTCCACCCAATCCGTGCTGGTTCCACCGGTGCTCGATCGGCGCCACGCGTCCCGCAAAAACCAGCAGGAACGGCGGGAGCGAACCGAGCTCGTAGATCCGGTTGATCTTCTGGATCTCCATCCACCTCTCAATCCGCTTAGTATACCCGAACCGCCTCCACTTGACCAGATCTATAACCATCACTCCTGTGTTGAAGTAGCAAGGTTTTCTCCTGTTAAACAGGCCAGAAAACCGGCCGTCAGACCAGAATCTTGCCGTAAAATACTTGGTGAAGTTGGCGTGGCAGTACTCCGGCGCTCCGATTGTTCTCGAACCCAAGCTCGTTGCCCATAGTTTGGCAATATCGTCGACGACGACCAGATCAGAATCCAGATAAATTACCCGGCGAACGCAGGGCTCGAGCAGATCAGCCAAGTAATTCCTAGCGTAATTCAACGGCTGCTCCAAGGCTTGCCTGACCGAAGTGGAGATCAGGTTCCGTACAATATCCGGGTCGAAGTAGTACACCTTAAACTTCAATTGAGGAAAAGTGGAGCGCACAAGTGACTCGAGACCGGCGTCGGAGACGAGAAAGTGGAAGAAGATGCTCTCCGGGCAAACAGAATGCTGTAGGATAGAGTGAACGGCGGCGATTGAGCCGCGGAGGTAGTCCACGTCCAGTGTGATGGCGACATGAACCAATGAGGGGTTACAGACGCCGGTATCACCATCAGAGGAGCCGCATTCACCGGCATTGCGGAAAATCGTGGCCTGCCGAAACGAGAAACGATCAACTGAATGCTGGGAGGGGAAACGGAGGTAGCTGTCAAGATGAGAGGATCGGATCGCCTCGGCGGGAGGGAAGGACTGTAGTGAAGGGGACAGAACGATCATGACCATTGCGGCGGAGAAGAACCCCGAGAATCTCAAAACCCACAACATTTTGAGACGACGAATCCCTCTCCTCCTCTTCTTCGTCGTCGTAAAATCAAACCGATCCGCTAGGACTGACGAAAGTGACAATCGCAGGAACGCTAGGGTTCCTTTCAAGTACGCCAGAGTTAGGCCGAGAGACAATGGAGAAAATACCCGAAGAAACCCCAAATACCAAAAGAAAAAACCCCAGTACAGAGAACGAGAAAGGCTCGGAATCAATCCCTTTAATATTTTATTCAAATCCGCGAATGAAAGTAAAAATGCCGTGGGAATGAAGCGAAGTGGGAGAAAGATGAAGAAGACGAAGAGGAGGAAGAAGAAGAATCCATGAAACAAACCAGTGCGCAGAATTAGGGGCCCGGTGGTTACCGAGCGCCAGCTGCGCTCTACTCCCTCCCTCTCCTCCCTTTCCCTCTCTTAATATTCTATCCGTATGGTTGTGGAGGAGACTGACAGGAGTAGATCAGCAGAGTGGAGGGAGAAGGATAGAGCGGGAGAAAGGAGAAGATGAAGACTGAATAGGTACACTTTTGTGTTTCTCTTTTCTAGCTTAGAGTTTTCCACCATAGAAATCCACGGGCCAGAGAGGATTAAGTTAAAATTAAAATTAAAATATATATTAAATTAAAAGTAATTATAGTTTAAGATGAAACAATTAAATGAAATTATTTACAGGAAGAGAAAAGAAATGTATGTGTTTATTATAAGGAAGAGAACCAGCTGTTCTTGTCGTCTATCACCTTACCAATTGCGTAATACACCAGCTCGTACATACACTTGTACGCTTTCATGGTTTTTCCACGTCACTTTTTTTTTTATTTGTTTTTAATTTAAATTTCCAATTCGGGTCAGGTCCAAATTCAGTATCTCGGACTCGGTCAATTTTTATCCCAAATGATCCGACCGCCTGCCTGTTAAAAAAAAAAAAAAAAAAGGAGCTGCAATAAGCTATTAGATTTTTATTTTCAAATCAAAGATTATACAGTTTCTTATTAAATAATTGAAATTTATAAATTAAGTGAAAATATGATAATTTAAACAAAACCAAAGACAAGTGCATAATGTATTTAATTTTATATATTTATTGATAATTCAATACTGCATCATATATTTTTTATATTGACCAAATAAATTAAGCTAGCTATAATTTATATCGCGAGTTTAAAAATATTAATAAAATAGTAGTTTATTTTAAATAAATAATTATTTTATATTTTATACAAATAGTTATTTTATAAAGTATTATTATTTTAGAAAAATAGAAACTGTGTATTTAATAAAAATAATTTTCAAAATTTTTTTAAATTATAAAAATTATAATTTTTACGTTTGAATGAATTTTTAATTTTAGTTTTTTTAAGAAAAAATATTTATCTTATTTTATTGTAAAAATACATTTAAAACTAAAAACTGAAATCCCAAATTTGATTTTGAGAATCCTGTTGTTATTAATTATGCCACACACCTAAAAGAAGTGACCGTCGTCCCCAGGCCTCTTGTGATTTTATTTTGCTTTCAAAGCAAAAAGATAAATTTATACGTCAGAACCGTAAATTTTTTTTTTTTTATTATTATTATTTTATTTAATTTTTGCAAAACAAATTTTCATTATATCCAATTTAATTTCATTACCAATTCAAATTTGTTAATACAAATTTAAATACTCTTATTTATTATTAACTTAGTGTTAATTTTTATTTTAAAAAATAAACATAATTATTCAATATTTTCATGATTCAATCATTATAATTTCATTCATTACTAGTTTATATCAGTCAATTAATTTTTAGATAATATTTACGTGTGTCTAACCTTCTAATTATAACCATTAATTCCAAAATTTAAAAATTCAAAATTAAATAAATAAACCCCCAAAAAAAATACTAGAAATTAAAATTTTGGTGTAAGATAATAAAATATAAATCTGCAAAAAAAAAAAAAAGGAATTGTCATATTAAAAATAAAAATTTTGAATTATAATAAAATCATATTATAAACATGAAATTGTAATTTGATGTATTTTTTTTCCATATGTAATCGGATTCCAAATATACATTTTAACAGTAACTATTAATAATTCGGTTTTTGTTCATTATTATAATCTTTTAAATAATAAAAGATACAGATACAATGAAACTAATCAATGTGAGTTTTCTTTGACTCTTTCTACTGTTATTGAATCACGGCATAAAATTGTTATCTAATAAATTTTATTTATTTAATCATGTATTTAAAATTTATTTATTAATTATAATAATTTTTTGCTATTGACATTAATATTTCAAGACCTTGAATCGCCATATTACCATATGAATGCTTAAAATTTCTTATATAATAAATAAATTAGTACATTGTATAAAATTTATTTTTATTGGTGCAAAAATGTTAAGTGATCCAATTGAGGGATCAATTACTTTATTTTTAAAATTGTTTAATTAACATAATGTAATACCCGGGATGAAAATTTGATCCAAAATTAATTTTAATATTAAAAATGTATAAAAATATATTTTTAAAATTAATAAATTTTAATTTAATGTGAAATTATGAAAAAAAAAATAGGTTAAGAATGAAATTAAAAATAATTTTAGAAAAAATAAGTAAAATTTTAGATTCAGATAGTGTTTTTGATAGAAAAATTAAAAATTATGAGTTAGAACGCAATTAAGAAAAATTTTATCATGTAGGACTGCCCAGTCAGCAATCTCGACGAACTGGAGCGCAGCACGTGACAAGACATGCTGACTCGATGCCACGCAGGCGATCTACGGGGCCCACAATTGGATGACCTGGAAGCGTTTCTATGCGCGTAGATGGTTCGAATCCATTCCCTCCTTAGGCGCAATCAGATGGTCGAGATCAAATCACAATGAACGGTCCAGATTTATTTTCTCTTTAAACGCGATCGGATGGTCGATATCAAACGCGATGAACGATCCAGATTAATGCGAGACGGGTATAAATATTTCACATTACACTAAACTCAAACCATAGCCGCCAGCCTCCCGCTGGATAAGAAGAACCAATCGCTGGAGAAGGGAGTCGATCGTCAACCGCCGGTATACCATAGCCACCTCCGACAGCCAAAAAAGGTAAAAATTCTTCTATCCGCTCAGAATTTAATTCCGAACGCCTCCATGGCCAAATTGGCTCAAAAGGAACCGCGAGTGAGTCGAAAATCGTAAACAAAACCCACAACCGCCTCCGATTAGCCCCTTTCCGTTTCTCATTCCGTGCAATTTTTTCACCGTTGTGTTCACCATTTTATTTTCTACAGACTGACTAAAGAAAAATACTTAGCCGCGAATGAGAGTCGGTAGAGCCGCCGCACCAAAAAATCCCATCACTGATAGGTTTCCGTTTTTTATTTTTTTTTGGGCCAACCGACGCCCCCTAATATGTTTGCTCACAGGAATGTGTATAAAATCTGTCAAAACCGGCTGAAACTGGCCAAAAATGGCCAGGTTGAGGTAAATTGCCGCCGCGAACGACGATGTCGTCGTGCCAGAACCCTGAAATTGACCGAAAAAAAAAATTCTTATACCGATTTTGAGTTTTTGAGTATTTTTAAGTACATGAAACATGTTTTATCTCCCTATAAAATTCAAAAAATTCGGACTGCCAGTAGCGCAGTAGAAAGTTCGATATTTTGGATACCGATTCCTGTAAGAATCCCTCATTTTATTCTTTGTCATATAATTTAAACTTAATAATCGATAATATGGTATTTTGTGTAATTTAAAAATTTTTGAGAATAATTACAGATTACTAATTTAGTCGTAACCGGTTAGTTATTTTTTTGTCATGTTTAACTAATTGTTGAATTTACAGTTTTAAATATATGATGATATACTGGAATGGTTGAATGATTCAGTTGTGCTTTCTTGATATGTATATTGCTTGTCTTGCTACGGTTGATTTGTAAAATTATAATTTAATATGCAAACGGAAAATTATTTGGTCATGTGAATTAATGAATAGTAGTCTTACTGCATATCCTGAGAGATGGTTGACGGACAGGGTATGTAGGGAACCCTACCGTGAACGTTACCTCATACCGGACAGAGTATCAAGGAAAGGTATTTTTGGCGCTCATACCAGACAAAATATGGAATGACTCGATTCACCCTCATACCGGACGGAGTATGGGGACGGTCGGTTAGTTAACAATGTTGGATATTGGTTCACACGTAGTGTGACATCCATATGGGCTTTCAGGGATATTAGTAAGTAAATAAAAATGGAAAATTGTTGTTCTTACTCACTTAAATATGATATTATAATGTTATTTGAGTTATTGTCTCTATAGGTCTATTTTGAAAATCTCACAACGGTAAATATATGTAATAACTAATTTTTTTATGATAAATAAATTTACTTAAATCAAGAGGTTCATTGGTTGTTTTTATGATTTTTACCAACCTTAAATTTCTGTATCGGTGAGTAGTGTGATATTTTTACTAGGGTAGTGTAGCTCATCATTTCATTAAATATTTCATATTATGAGTATCAAGATTCAGATCCCGATCAACAAAAAAGTTGTGAATAATTCACCACCCGGATTCATTTCAAAAGGTAGTGAATGTCGTCTTATAATACTCAAGTATTTGTCTTTTGTTTATTTATTTGATTTTCGTTTTTTTTTTTCAAATAGATATTCTCGTAATTATATTGGACATTCTAAATTATTGTATAAGTAATATAAACTCTAAACTCTATTATTTTACTTACTTATTTAATTTATAATTTTATTTTTTAAAAAATTCTAAACATTTATAGTAAATACCACTAATTCAATTTTTTGTATAGTCAATATAATTAAGAGATTGTCCTATTATTAAGAGTGTCATATAAATTAATCATGCCATAAAAATTACGCACGTTTTTTTAAGACCGGGGGTCTACAAAGTATATATGTAATCGAATTTTATTATTAATTATAATATTAATTTATTGATGACAAAAATTTAACTTTTAACATTCCAACACGTATATTAATAAACATAATATTAGATCGTAAATTAAAACCAGAGTATCAAGTACTTGAGATTTTTGTTTTGCTAACAGAACGAGAAGTAAGAATTACTATAAGTGGACAAAATCTTGCAGGGACGGGTCAGATCTGAAAAAATTTACAAACTGCTCCCAGCGGACCATTCCGATGTCGTTTTGCTTTTTTTTTTTTTTGTTTTTTTTTTTTTGTTGACCTCCAAAATCTAAAATTACTCGAGAACCAAGTGAAAAATTAATAATAATAATAATAATGACCAATAGGAAAAGTCCAGTGCAATCCCAATCAGAAAACATCAGATAATGGGGCCCACAAATCCAGTCGGTCCAATTAGACATTTGTTGATGTCAGATGACTGAACACGTATCGTTTGAAACCACCGGATTTAGTTCAATTTCGATACTTGGTTAGAACAGTAAATATATTTTTATTAATTATAATTAAAATATATATGTGATTTTTTAATGTTAGAAAATTAAATATATATTCTCTCGTATCATTCATTTTACAACAAACAAAATTTTAAAAAAAAAAAAAAGTCTAAAAT